CCTGAGATGACAGTTTATGTAATGGCTCAAGGCTTTCCAACTTAAAAAACACTGACTAATGGCATGCTGTTCTGCCCTCGCAGTGAAGCAGAGGCCAGATTTTTACAGGAGAAAATCAGCAGTGATGCCTTCAGTCCATCATCTCTGGCAAATTCCCATCATTTGGCAGCTCAAGCTCAGGTTCCACACACTCAGAGCTACAACACTAAATGTTTTAAAAGGCAGAAGGCATCGAATAGCCAAAGCGAGGAGCCAGGTTCCAGAGTTAGGAAGGACTCAGAGCAAGACCGATACTGTGTGGTGTGGGCCTCCTCCCAGAGTGATAGCTCACCTTTTCCCTTGGGTGACAGCCCCGCTCTCTTCACCCCTCCCTACAGCCCAGCCTCCTCCAGCTCCCCTGTGTGGCAGGAGGAGCTCAGCCATGACCTCCTGATGGATGTGCACAGATACACAGATCAGCTGTTGTCCTCCCCTGAGGGCTCTCCTTCCTATTACTCCTACCCAGAGGCAGGGCTCACCTGTAACCGATCACCCTCCGATCCCCTGCCTGCGGCCGCAGAGCACACCTTTGACCAGACAGCTTTTGGTGCGCTCACTGGCCACTCTCCACTCTCCTCCTCATCTCCAACCTATGATTTCCAAGCCTGTACATCCGATGCTCGATTAGTTCCAGACCGCTTGTATGCATCCAGCATGTGTGAGAGCTCGACTGATTGTGCTCTGCATGAAGACGATTTCAGCCCTCTTGAGCAGCCACAAGGGGGCAGCCCCACCCACTTCCATCATGTCCCCCACCACGGGTTGTCCATACATCCCAGTCTTCTTACGCCCAACCAGTCTCCCACATCCACAGAGTCTACCGAATACAATGAGAGGGAACAGGCAGAGATCGGTATTCTGGCTCAGCAGATCTCCTCTCTGGCCAGCAGCTTTGACATGTACCGCACCCTGAACCCGCTCCAACCTGCAGCGGCTACCGACACTCTGCCTTCAACCTGCAACTGGCCCCATCACCCTCCTCCCCCCTTAGTCCTTCCTCTTCAGCGTGAGATGGTCCTTGATGACAGCATGTTCAACAGCATCCTGAAAGACCTGGACATGGTCACAAGAAAAAGCAGCATACCCGGCCCTGCTGTTGTGCCATGCAGCTATCAGCAGGGCTTAGTGGGCAGCAGGAGCAGCTCCCATCAGCAGGAGCAGGAGCCCCTTGTTCTCTCCACAGCCACCTCACAGGATCCACTGCCAGCGGAGCAGTTGGCTGCCATGTATCCTGTCAGTTTACAGTTGGGGCGTCATGACCAAACCACTGGGTTGCATCAACTCAACCACTACATGCAGAGCAGCGTTCAGCAAGGTAATTTCCACCAAACAGTGCAGCAACCAAAGTACTGATATCCCGCTTTGATATATAAACACAAAAACTTACATTTCACTAATATGTTTCTGTCTCCTTCCAGATGGACTTGCTGAAGAAAACCTGTACTGAAATAAGTCTGTGACTTACTGTGCTACTACTTGTATGACATATTGTCAGGGCACTCTTCCTTCACTGGATTCAAAGAAGAATGTGACATTTTAAAGACACAGATTCCTCAAATGACTTTTTAAATGTAGAAAAGAATCTAAAGTAGATTCTCCACAAACCTACTTCTTTGCCTTAAAAGCTCTAGACTTATATAAACTACATTTTACTTGTTTAAGGCTTATATTTTATTTTTTTTAAAAAGGTACTTTAAACAATCTACCTGACAACACTTACACTGAAATCGAGGTATATTTTTCTTTTATTGCTGAGTGACCACAGTTTAATATTGAGAATACTGAGCACTTTATCACTGTAATTGTCACAAAATGACATGCATGTAGCTGAGAAAAGGCGCAATTTCAAGGAATATTACCAAGATTTCAAAGCCACGTACTGTAGATGAGCTTTAACACAAATATTCACATAACCACATACAAGAGAATCACATAAATCATAGAGTCACTTTTAAATACTTTTCAGGTGCCTTAAAACACTTAGGTGAAAATGCTATGTTCTTTTTTGTCCTTAATGTCTTTTTTTTCTCAGTGTGCTGTTAATGGTTTCATGCAGTTATAAGTAAAGAAAACAACCTCAGTCCACTGCAGGTGAGATAATGATTGTTGTAAATTCAACACCTACCTCAGTGGTTTATCTAAATACATTCCAATTTATTTATTTGGTTTTGAACACACTGACATAACTATACTCACTTAATTAATGGTACTAAATGTTGTACTTGACTGAAATGTGAATCTTAAACTTATGTTCATTTATTCCAGATACGTTTTTTCATGGTACTGGAACTGTAATGTCTGAATCTTTAACATTAATGTGTTATTGCTGCAATTGTCTTCAAATGTATGAAATTTAAATAAAACTAATGAAAAAAAATTTAAGGAACACAAGGGGACTATATTATATTATTGATATATTAGTGTTTAATGTGTTTCCTTCCACAAAAACTCTTTCAGAATTTTACATTAAATGAAAACCTTTCCACACAGTCAAATACCACACTTAACGTTCGCATCATTAGCACCATGCTGGTAGGTACGGTCATTCAGGCATATCTCTCTAAATGAAATAAAACAGTATAGTAAATTTTGAGAAGTATTTCAAGCAAAATTTTCTAAAAATGTACTTAAACCTGCATTAATTAATTGCAACAATCTATAAAGAAAACATTGAAGTTGTTATGGCTAAGCCCTTAGCAAACAGATACCTATTTATACATTCAGCAGACACAGGGCAACAGTAATCTGGAGTTAGCTTTCTGGCCTCCTGAGAAATTGAGGTCCAATATTCACTCTTCTTTTCTAATTGCTTTGGTTTCTGCTAACCCCTGAGAGAAACATCTGGCCTATTAGCTGCTAAATGCTCCAATATCTTTACCTGCTACTTGCTATCATTGCTCATCTGCCATTCGGTGTTGGCTGGATTGCATGCAATCAGAGCTTTTTCACTAAAAACAGCTACTGACTGTCGGTGAAAACTGATAGTGAAGTAAGACAGACAAATTATGGGCCATATAGCCAAAGCAGCGAACTGAGAGATGCTAAACATATGAATAGTGCAGTGGTAACATCACTGCCTTTCCTAAGGGAGACTGCGTTCCCAGCTGTGGCAAGACCTCTTTACACTTGACCCTGCCTACCTCTGATATGAGAGAGACACAAACTAATCTCATGCCAGCTCAGACATCATCTGGACCAACAAAGTCTGCATCAGATGTTGGTGGAATCAGGACAATCTGACAATAAGTGGGCTACTGGAACAAACCATGAGAACTTGAATCTGATTAAATACTACTGCAACAGCAGACCCAGTGAAAGGGGATATATGAAATGTATGAGGAAATTATGGATGCACAGAAGACCAACGTCCACACTAACTAGCTACCCAACGGTTCATAAACAGCCCCAGCACAAGGTCTGCTGGACTCTTCAGTGCTCCATTGATTTTTAGATATTGTGGCTGGTCAGCCCAGTGACAGCATACAGACTGCACACAGAGGAATCAGATACATATTTGGACAGATGTGCAAAGTCAATTTATAAATGAACAGTTAGACAAAGAAGTGAATTGACTGGGCAGCAAAGTGACTGATGGATCATCATGGTTAAACAGAGCTGTACCTCCAGAGAAGCGCTCCATCCATGTGGAACAAAAAGCTCACAGGAGGCACTACAGTCATCCTGCTGATGCAATTCAGAGCCCCCATGATTTTCTCATGCATGAGCCACTAGATGGAGTGATAGCTCTAACAGCTTCCCACTACCACAGGTATCTGCATGTCACTGGTGTAGTATTACTTAAACAAACTTGAAACAAAGTGCAGGAGGAGTGTCCGTATGTGTGCGCAACGATGAGAGCGTAATTCACTCCATTCATAAGCAAACAGTCCAGCTGTCTAGTCTTATCCATGGAGACCTAATTAAGAGTGATGTCTGTTGAAGGGTACACTGGAGTCCCTAACAAGTCCTCACATCTGCTCTGCTCCAGTTCTCCTGCATCACTACATGGCGTTACCTGGAACAATGATGATTTCCCTGAGGCACAGTGACACCAGGTCTATGGCACTGACACGTTTGTCCACACTGAAGAGAGAGCAAGGATCCACCTTTTCACTTCGCTCACACACACAGTGAATACTCCCAACACAGAAGAGTATGGCATTTTTCTGGAGCTGTAGATACATGACTACAACTGGAGATCTGGTGTGACTGTGTTAAAGTGTTGGTGACACAAACGCAACATTATTATTATTATTAGTGGCTGTTTGTGGATAAAAATGATGTTACAGAAACAGAATAACATGCAGTACACTATAGAAGATAAGAGATGTGCAGACAAAGGAAGATACAAATATGTACAGAGGTGCAATAAGGAACACACACACACAAGCACACTCACCTTAGAATTTGGGTTCATTTATTACTTGAACTTTAGAATTTGGGTTCATTTATTACTTGATTACACAGGTGACCCTCCTGTGTCACTGAGGTGATGTGAGATCAAAGTAACATGTGTACCTCACAGGAGTGGTGAAATACTGCAGGAGTCTGCAGGTGGAAGTAAAACCATGCTATGATTTGTTTCTGATGTTTGAGAACAGCATAGAGGTGGAAAATGATACCACACGGTAGAACTGACAAAAAGAAAAACACATGCAAAACTGTCATCTGCCCTACTTAAGTAGCTCCTGAAGTGCTTTCTCAGGTGGATGGCTGGAGGGCGGATGCTGAGGGGAATGCGTTTCACTGCAGTTTCACAGAACAGCTCATGGATAAGATTCTTTTCAAAGCCGTGCCTCCAACAAGCAGCCAGGTTTCTACATATATCCTGTCTCACCGGTAGCTTCTCACAACTGATTACCTCATTTACCTGCAAAGGGAAACTTGTCAAATTGAAACTCTCACTGATTTCAGACAACAGGGCCTCAGGTGGCAGTGCAGTGTCTTCGTTTACTTTAGGCTTTATACTTTTATTGTCACTGTGACTGGGCTTGAGGGCTCTGCTGAAAGCGGATCTTGGGGTACACATTTATTTAGCATCAAATGAAGACGTGGGAAACCATGCAGCTCAAAATGTGATTTGTCTGTTTTGCTCTGGGATTGTTTGACAGACAATAGCCGCCGTGGGCACAGAAAGGTGCTGCATGCTGTCATGAGGGAGACCTGATCTGTTATTGCATGTTAACCTGAACCTGGCTTTTCATTCTTCACACTCCATGATGAGACCCTTCTCACCGTCTAACTCGTTTTCTCCTTGTTTCAATATATAAAACAGCTGCCACTGTTTTGGCTGCTTTACATTTTCATTTTGTAGATGCTCCACTTTTCAAAGGAGGCACATCACCTGACCTGTGTTAGTTCAGTCTATGCATGCTGACATTGTAACTGGGTTAAACAGAAAGACCCAAAATAGACTGCAGCCTGTTCCTTCAGTACCCCTTCTTCTCCTTCTGTTGCCATGCCTGAAACCACGGCACTGATTCAACAGTGGATTGCAGTCACGCAGAGTCAACATATCCTTTTGATATTCACGAGAGAAAGGCCAGCCAACCAGGGAGAAGAATACAAACGGCAGCTTAGCAGTGCAGCCTACTTGCATATGAATATTTGATTTCTTTTCCACTGTTCTGTCCCAGGGAGGAGTTTGCTGCTTTAGGCATAGCCAGTCCACAGAAGAAACATGAGCATCCCACTGTGTGATCTGAAAAACATGTCATTCTTTGTTGATTAAAATTCTTGTGTATTGAAAAAAAAACATTCCGTAAGAACTTTCACTGCTGGCTTCTGCTGGGATGTAATGTTGTGCTATACAAGAATCCCAAACACATTTTCCTGATTTTATACCTTTTGCTGTTGTTCTGTCATTGGTTTGTGTTTCAAAGCACATTTGGTATTTTATGAGTCATAAGTACTGAAAATAATCCAACTTGACGTAGAGAAGTGTTGCCTTTTTTTTTGTTTTGTTTTTCTGTGTGGGTGTGATTGGGCAAGTGCATGGTTCTTTAAAATTCATCACAAATCATGAGACCACTTTAGTGCTTGGATATCTTGGGTTTAGCCTTCATTAATAATTCTGGGTACAAGGCCTCAACTAATGCATAACAAATACAATATTCAAGCCAAGTGTTTCACTCAATTCTTCCTATTTTAAAATGACTTTTAAGCATAATTGTTTAACCTCTTATTACTAAAGAGTCCTCTGAGTCTTTATTTGGACTTTGGAAAGCATCAGAGCTACAGTACAAATCCTGATGTTTTATATTGTACACTCTTCATCGTTCACATCCATTAACAGCAGAGTTTTGTCAGTGCTGAAGTCGCAGTCAAGTAACGAAGATTTCACTTACATTTCTCTGCAGGAGTTCTTGGGATTAATGTATGTGTGGTGTGGATATAAACATTTGTGAGTAATGTCATACTGTGCTAACAAAATGAAATGACAGTAAACACAGCAGGAGCAGAATTCTTTGCACTACGGAGGATACTTCTGCATCTCTGGGGTACTTCAAACTAAGCATGAGCAAGTAACGCTGGGGACAAGACAAAACTTGTGTTGTTACACAGCTCTGCAAAGTATACTCAGCCTGGTGGGGGTCAGCGTGTCCATGATCCAAGACACTGTTTGAAATATCAAGAATTAATTAAAATAATCTGGAGAAGTTAAGCAGAAAGACAGTGTCCCTCTGCGTCCACACCTCAATGGCGTGCTTTCATTTTGTTGCACTTAAGCACCAGAGGAACATGGAGAACCACTCTCCACCTCTACAGAGCAGCACTTTGTGAATTCACTTGCTATTATGAGGGATTTTAACTATTTGTGTGTTTGTTTGTTTGTGTGAGAATGCATGCTGGGTAGCAGTGGATGACAGACTCTGGCTTTGTTATGCACAAAGTGTTCCAGATAAAAATATAACTGCACAGCAAGATTAATTCATGATGAGACATTTCATCTTCACATTGTAGTCACAAGAGTTCTTGTGTTCAAGCATAAAGAATATTACTGTATTACAGTGCACAGACCATGAACGGTAACAGGCTGAACCTCAGCACCCTGGATTATTCTTACCTTGTGGTAGGTAAACAATGGAGATCGACATCGTTTATGGAGAGGAGAATGACCTCAGCCTCAATATAACTCCCCTCTGCTGCCTCTGACCATCAAAAGGACTGAGGTGGAGAGGGCTGACAGCCACAAGTGCCTGGGCCTGCAGGTGACATCTGATGTGAGCTGGACATGGAACACAGCTGCCACAGTGAAGAAAGCCTAGCAGCAGCTATACTTCATCAGGTGACTCAGAAAAGCTGGATTGAACCGTCGCCCTCTCACCCAGGCTTA